ATGCGGAAGGGAACGGAGCTAGGCGCAAGCTGAGGGTAGACCCCCAGGCTACCCGCCGCTCCCCGTCTCCCGGCTTTGAGCTGCCCCCCCGGCCGGACGGAGGGCAGGGTGTCCCCTCTGCTACACCCACCGAGCGTGGCTGAGCGGGCAGCAGGGTGGCTCGCAGGCCGGCCGGGGTCTCTGAGCCCCCGTTACCCCGCCGCGCCCGCGGGAGGAGGAGCGGAAGCCTGCGGCCAGGTTTATTGCTGTCGTTTGGCGCCCTCGTCTGTTTTCTTAAGGGCTGTAACAGGGAGAGCATCTTTCCCCCTGCTCTTTCGGAAACCGCAGACGAGATGCCACATCTCGGAGGCACTCGTGTGCTTGTATGTGCACAACCAGAGTCGGCATAACATTACACTCCAGAAATGTTACTGCACCACTAAAGAGGAGGGAACGCATTTTATGTTATTCGGTGCGGATGGTAGAGACTAAAGGAAAAGCCCCAATGTGAGAAAAATGTTACACACAAGTGTGGCTGTGAATGATCTTTATTAGTGTTATGTTATATTTTGCACCTTTTAATAATACTGATCTTAAGTTATATACAGTGTATCTTAAAATATAGTTACACTCATATGCAAGGGAAATGACGTTATAAAAGACGTTAATAATCCACTAAGTAGATGTGAGGTAACAAAACTGTTCCCTGCCATGCAGTTAATCAGTTCACCCCAAACTGTCAGCTCACTAATAAACAAGTCATCTGATATTTATATTCCCAGCAAACTAGAGGCATTTACCGCACTGATGTTTATCGTGCTTTTTTTTTTCTCCCCCACAACAATAGCACAGCCTAAAAATCTTTCAACATATGTTTATAGAACTTCAAAACCAACAGCTCGGCTTAAAGAACCTTCAGCATCAGAGAGATATTAGTGAGCAATGGGGGAGGAAGTTTCAGAGACCGCCAAAATATGCGAGGTTTTGTCAGACGCTGTTTACTCAGTTGTTCTTGTAAGTTTAAATGGCTGCTTAGGCCTATGGCCAAAAGTCTTAGCACTTTTACCTTGGAAGCTATTACTCAAGGCATCAAAGAACATTTCAGTGCCCGTTTATTAAATCTGAGCTGGGAAAAAGAGGTCACGCAACCTAATTGAAATGAAGTTCGTATGAAATCAGCCAAACAACACCTCGGTCAGCTTTTCACGACTCCGAGCGTGCTTGGGAAAACGGACACGAATATCTGATTCCTCCTCCCCGGTGGGGCAGGCTGCCAACAGGGGCCCGGGGCACCAGCAGCTACTCGTGGCAGCGCAAGGTCTCTGGGACAGTGTCCGCGGAGGGGAGCAGGCTGCGCTGCAGGGTTCCGGAGCTGCGGCGCTGGGGGCATTGGTTACCGGGGGGTGCCGCAGGAGCGGGGCTGCTACGGCGGACCCTGCGGAGCGGGCGGGGGGAACACGGAGCCCACGGCGTCGCCGGCGGCAGGCTCTGCGGCGCCACCTGGCGGCGCTGCGGTGGCACTGCGCAGCGGGGCCGCGGGCTCTGCCTGCCCTGCCCGCCGCAGGCCGCCTGGCAGTGCAGCTCCCCGGCTTCCACGTGTCTCGGTACGCACCCCGCTGTCGCTCAGCTCCGACTCTCCCCTCCGGTTCAGATTGTGGTGCAGGGCCACCCGCGGGGAGTCTGCCTCCTGTTCAGTCCTGGTTCTCCTTGAAATGTCACCCCTGCAGCGGTACAGGGCACGAACCCGGTGTGTCCCGAGTCACGCGGGTCCGGCAGCACCGTCCATCCCCTTGCTTCCCATGCGGACATCCCCTTTTGCGGGCTTAATGATTACATGATGTCTTCTGGGGCTGCCTTTGCACACAAACAGGTTTCAATTTAAACGATAAAGCCTTACTCCCGACGCAAGGCGACCCAGCCGATTCTTCGTCCTAGGTCGCGTCGGCGTCAGGGTCTGAGTACCCGAGGTCCCCGTGTGGCCTCAGAGGGGAGGTGGGAGTCAGGCAGCGGCCAGCACCGCCCGTGACCTTAGAGCTCAAGTTCAACGCCCGCAATGTTCTATCGCCCGTCAGCTCTCCGTCTGGGCCAGGGCGCAGAGAGTCCTGAGAAAATTTTCTCCGTCCGGCTCGAAATGGAAAATTTAAAGCCGAAATAAATAAAGATATGAGAAACTATGGCACGGATCTGGAGGGGAAAAGTAGTTTATTTTTCCACACGTTGCTGCTAAAGCTTTTCATTATCGTAATTCGGGCAGAGGAAAATAAAAGTTTTTCTGTTCTGTTTAGCTATTAAAAGTCCACGCAAGTTAAAAGGTAACGGAACGCAGTGTGCACGGGGCAAGGTTTGAGGGAAGTATAAGCCGATTTTTTTTCTCTTAGTTTACCTTCTCCGTTTGTCCTGGAAGACCTTTTCCCCTTCTTTTTCTTTTACTATTTTTTTTTTCTCCCTACAATAAACACTAACAAGAGAAGCTACTTCCTGAAACAGCTGAAAAAAATGTTTTTCCTGGGAGAGACCAGGCGGAAGACAGAGAGCAAATAATAAAAGACTGTCCTAAAACTTGAGTGGAGTCCTAACTCCATTAAATCATAGCAAATGTATCTGAGGAAATGAGATTATTTCAGGGAGTGGGAAACAAAAATAACCAAAACCCACTTATTATTATTCGGGAGCAGAACACAGCCAGCGATGCTATCTACTTCGTGTGCTACCCAGATTCCCGTGCAATGTGTCAATAGGTAATGCGGAGCGGCTCCGCGGGAAGGCAAGTAGTGTCCGCAGCGGAGGCCCGGCCACACCGGCACATCAACCTGCCTGTAGCTGAGCTAACTCTCGGTGAGGACTGTCCCGCCCTGGCAACGGGGACAGCGGGTGGCTCCGGACTGGGGTTGGGGCGGCAGCACGGAGCCCTGCACTACCCCTGGGGCCGGGGGTGCAGGACGTGTCCTGTCACTTGTAAAATGGGCGGATGCTCCCAGAGATCCGACTTTGCCTTATGAGCTCATTATTTTTATTCGTGTGCATAATATCCTGCCGTGCAAGTCAGTGCTGTTTTCTACACCCTCCACAAAACGGCTCATTATAGAGTTGTTGTTTGTCGTAAACCCTCTCAAAGAAACTGTTTTCTAGGACACCGAGGGGCTCTCGTTGGATAGAGTTGCACCGTGGTTTGTTTTGATGTTTCGGAGCTCAAGCTCAAGCTCCGAATCCCTGAGCTTTAGGTGCTCATTTCTTTCGTCGGCCTTATTTAAAATGTCGTGACGAGAAAGAAAATTTCATTGCATTTATGGCAATGGGAAGCACAACGGAAGATGGAAAATCAAATGGAAAGATGTCCGGAGAAATAGTCTCTCATTTCTCAAGACTTCAGTGCGTTAGCAATGCTTTCACTAGGAAGCTGCATACAGGGAAATAAAAGGATGAGAAACTTGTGCCTCGACAAAGTGTCCTAATTATATATGGTTTCATGTTCTGAGAGTAAATACTGACTCCATTTATAACCGAGGGAAACCCCTAATCACGCCTGGCTCACTCAGCTGATTATGAAAGATTAATAGCAGTTAACTGGTTAGAACTCTAGAACGTGTTTGCCATCCGGTTGTTGATGTGCACCCTTTGTCATTCCACCCGGCTTCCAGAAACTGCCGACGGCTACTAGACTGCTAGTCCCCTCCGCGCCCGCGTCAGCCCAGAAGTCAGGGGGATGCCCACCGCCTGCCCTGAGAAGTCACCCACAGACCCCAGATCTTGTCAGCACTGTGTTTCACCTCTACGGCAGTTGCTTCTTCTCTCCTGCGCCTGAGCCTCCGTCGGGACAGCAAACACGGCCTCAGCTCTACTTTTTTTCAGAGAGCGCGAAGTTTCCCTGCCTTTCCCAGCGGAGCTGCCGTAACTTGTTGCCCTCCCCGCCGCAGACAGGGCTAAATGTCTGTAATACACAACCGCGGAGCGACAGGAGCCGGCCCAGAGGGGCAGAGACTCGTCTTCTCTGCTTTCTCTATTTCGAGCTCTTCGCACTGCTGCAACTTCCACCTCGACCCAGCTGGAGAGTCTAGAGAGACGACAGAAGGATTTGCCACAGCATTGGGTAGTCACCACCAGAACAGCCGTCAGCACAAGCAAATGCTGCTATTAACTAGTCTGCCTTAGCAAATGCTGCGATTTAACTAGTCTGCCTTACCACGACACGGACTGACACTGCAATGGTATAAAAGCCACATCTAATGAATGCCAGGTTTAGCATCTTGTGCTGCACACAGCCCTGGTGCCTTTTCCTGGCTGGTAGCGACATCGGGGGGGGGGGGCTAAAAGAGGGATCTCCTATGGACCGAGAGCCCAGTGGAGCCGGGATTACCTTCTCCCCACAACAAAGCCCTCCTACTCCATACATGTCCGGGAAGGAAGGAGGTGTGGAGGATGGGATACAAAAACCGTGCTGGGGTTTTCTTCACCCTGCCGCAAACACAGCAATGAGCTGGGGAAGGCTTCCCCGGGGATCCGGTCAGATCTCTGCCCTCGCCTTCGACCAGAGCCCCTGCCTGCGGCTTCAAAAGTGCCAGCGGAGGTTCATGGTCCTTCCCTGGCCCTTTTGAAGCTGCAGGCAGGAGGAAAGAGGGGATGAAAGCGGCGGGGGCGAGGCTGGCCCGCAGGGGCATCTCCGCCGCCCGTCCGCCCAACCCCTCCCCAGCGCCGGGGCCGCGGCGGGGCGGGAGCTCGGCGGCGGGGCGGGGGTGGGAAGGGGGGGGGGGGGGGGGCTCCGCCGGTGCGAACCGGGGGGCTGCTAGGCGAAAGGGGCAGTACGGGCAGCGGGAGGGTCACATGTTTCGACAGCAGCCTATGAGCAGCCCCCCGGCCTGCGGCAAACTAATCTGGAGCCGGCCGCCCCCACCCCCGTCCCCCCTCCCAACCTGGACTTCGTTTTTATAAACGTACCGCCAGGATCCAACCTGTTGGAGGCAAATAACCATTTGCATCATGCCCGGCCGGGGACCGAGCCGCCGCCGTCCGCGATGTGCAAGGCCATGAGCAAAGCAGCGAGCTGGGAGATGGACGGACTGCGCGCCGACAGCAGCAGCGGCGGCGGCGGCGGCGGCAGCGGAGCCCCAGGGCAGTGCCGTAATTTTCTCTCCTCGCCCGTTTTCGGGGCTGCGCACACGGGTCGAGCGGCCGCCGCCGCCGCTGCCGCCGCCGCCGCCTCGGGGTTCGCCTACGCCGGCGGAGGGGAGCGCTCGGGGGCGGCGGCGAGGCCCGACCCCCCGGCCAAGGACTGCCCAGGCTCCGCCGCGCCGGCCACCGCCCCTGCGCTCGGCTATGGGTATCACTTTGGCAATGGATACTATAGCTGCAGGATGTCCCACGGGGTTGGGATCCAGCAAAACGCCCTGAAGTCTCCCCCCCATGCCTCCATTGGCGGCTTTCCTGTGGAAAAGTACATGGACGTCTCCAGTCTGACCAGCACGAGTGTCCCAGCCAATGAAGTCTCCTCCAGGGCGAAGGAAGTGTCCTTCTACCAGGGCTATACAACCCCCTACCAGCACGTTCCTGGGTACATAGACATGGTCTCAACGTTTGGCTCTGGGGAACCGAGACACGAAACATACATTTCAATGGAGGGCTATCAGTCTTGGACTCTGGCTAATGGCTGGAATAGTCAGGTTTACTGTGCCAAAGATCAGACACAGAGCTCACACTTTTGGAAATCGTCCTTTCCAGGTACGAGAGGGAGAGAAATGGTCTGACCTGCACCCCCCCCCCACGCCTCCTCCGCCTGCCAGTCCCCTCCCCCGCCCCTCGGGCCGCAGGGGCGGACTGCCGAGGTGGACACGCCGCACAGGCACAGAGAGGAGAGACCGGGGGGACGGTGGATTTTCCTTTTTCCTTCCCCCACCCCACCCCCGAGGAAACCTCACCCTCTGCTTTCCGCCCCGCGGGACAGACCCTGGAGCGCCCCCGCCGCCCAGAGCCAGGGTCCCGGTCCCCGTCCCGAGGGCACCAGGGCTGCCGCGGGCTTCTTCTCCTGCTGCCTCTTCCCTCGGCGGCTGCTTTTGTGTTCGCGTTAGCAGCTTGCAGGACGGTGCGCGAAGGCTTGCAGTCCTCTGCCTCTCCGGCCGGCCACTGACCCGGCCCCAGAGCACTTAAGAGGCTGGAAGTAATGAGTGCACAGAGGCACAAACCACATGCAAACAAACCTGGGAAACACACACCAAAGCGAGTTGTGTGCGCGCTGCCAGCTACGACCTGTCCTCGGCCCCCCGGCCAAAGAAAGCCCCCGACGTCCTGCACGTTCCCTAGCGATGCATGCCTGCAAAGTGATGACAGTCCATCAAGGTCGTAGTGCTTTACTAACGCGCAAATAATGTGGCAGTGTAAATAATAATAAACTGTAAACAACTCCGCATTATTTATTTGCCCTTGAAACCAGTGCCCAACAAGTACTGGTTATTTAAAAGCCTGTAATAAAATTCTAATTTTTCACATAATGTCTTTTACCATAGGGGACGTTGCACTAAACCAGCCCGATATGTGTGTCTACCGGCGTGGGAGAAAGAAGCGAGTGCCCTACACAAAACTGCAGCTTAAAGAACTCGAGAATGAATATGCCATTAACAAGTTCATTAACAAGGACAAGAGGCGAAGGATATCAGCAGCCACAAACCTGTCTGAGAGACAAGTTACCATTTGGTTTCAGAACAGAAGGGTGAAGGATAAGAAAATAGTCTCCAAACTGAAAGACAATGTATCTTGATCTATTAGTTGCGGACAGTGGTGGATATATAAACTCAATTTACGACCAGCTAAAGACTTTTGGAAAGACTTGAAAATATATTTAATTTTTTTTTTTTTCTCCTTCCAGCGGTGGTGAAATTTCGGGAATTGTTTTCCATGAAAGTCAGCGTTTTTCTCTCAGTGGAAGGGAGTGCTGACAAGTCTTGAATTATAGTTCTGTTTCTTCCTTTTGAAAACAATAATATTAATTATATTTTCTGTTCTTCCCTCTAGGCCAGTATAAAGGAATTTAAATACGTTGAACAGTTGCAGTTATAAATTTCTTAAATGCTTAACTCTTTGGGGGGTTCTGTATTATTTTTTTTCTGAGCAACAGTTAGTGCCAAAAAGTGTCAGTTTTGATTTGGTATCGTAAACTTCAAAACACACCGACTGAAAAAAAAAAAAATCAATTGGAAAACGCAAGAAATCCGAAGTCCGGACCCGTGGCCGCACCCGGCTGCTGCCAAAACCCGCCGAGCGCCCCGGGACCCAGAGAGAATCCCAAATTGCATGGAGGGGTAACGCCTGCAGCTAGGTTTTGTCTTTTTCGAGGGAAGGAGAGTATCTCCGAGCTGGTGTGGGGCGAAAAACACAGTGCCGGGCATCTCCCACCGCGCTTCCGGCTTCCGTAGGTTTGGGTTTGGTTGAGCCCGGGTTTTGTTTGTTTTGGGTTTTCTTAGAGTGTGGCCTTTTTGTTTGTTTGGGGTTTGTTTTTTTTTTGGGGGGGGGTGGGTTTGGTTTTTTTTTTTGGAGGGGGGTTGTTTGTGGTTTAGGGTTTTGGTTGGTTTGAGCTTTTTTGGGGGGGTGTTTTTTGGGTTGGAGGTTTTTGTTTTGTTTTGATTTTTTTGTGTGTGTGGTTCCCTGCCGTTCCGTTTTCAATAGAAGTATTTCATATAGTTCATATTCCCCGGTTTCCAAAGGAGCAGGCTGTTCCCAGCTATTCGTGTCCAGGCGCTCCTCGGAAGAGTTGGTGGGAGCACCTCAGGAAAGCGCTTTCTTTTCCCGGGACTGACGGGCCGGTTTGTCCTGCAGTGTATAAACCTGCGCAGCCTCTGTGTAAAGTGCCCGCTCTAGCTTATTTGACCGGACCAGCACAAGATTCTTCCCCTTTCTTCTGCCATAGCTCTTAAAAATTAAAATAACAAAACAAAAAAAAAAAAACAAAACAAACTCCTGGTCGGAGAAGTGAAGTTCACCGCTAACTTTTAATTTACAAAACTAAACGGGTGTTAATGACAGAAGCAATAAATAAGGGATTTCAAAAGATGCCGTAATTTATATAGGCCGAAAGGCCAGTATTTCGTCGGGTTTTTATTATTTTAAACCTAGTGTGCATGTTAAGATATACACAGGGTGATCAGACATGCTAGTCAACTACTAAGAGAGAGAAGCAGTATCTCTCTGCTAATGTGCCTCGTCTAATTATTAAAATGTGTGTGTTCCGAACTAGTATTATTTATTTTAATATGCTATTGCTCTAAACACTTTGATTACCAGTGTATGTGTGTAAGACCTACGGTAAGACTCTTTCTCCATAAACCATATCTTTTCTTGTCTTCAAGTCTGCTTTTACTTTGTGTTAGGATTATTGGCTGTTCCAAGCTGTTAACAATGTTGCCAAACTGTTTCTGAACCGTCTTTAATAAAATTATTTCTTTTCGATATATATATATATAAACGAGAGTACAAAATTCGCCTTCTTCTTGCAGCACGGCGTTTATCGGCTTCCAAGTTTGCCTGGGATCTTTCCAGGACCACTTAAAGACCGCGGTTCTTGGGAAAGGAGAGATAGGTACGGTGCGAAGCACGCTGAAGTAGGGAAAGGCGTGTCCGGGCTCGCCTTTCCACCGGGGAAGGGTTTTGGGAAGAAAGAAGTACTTGCCGGTGGAAAATATCCGAGGTGGGAGACAACGGGGTGTCTGTCTTTCCTTCTCCTCCGAGCCCGGCTCTGCCTGCCCGGTGCCTAGAGCGGCCCAGCGCACCTCAGTTTCCACTTCCAAGCTGCCCTTTGCCGGTGCTCCGGGGGGGGGCTCCTCAGCGGCAGGAGCGGCCGGCCCAATTCGGCACCCCTCCGTTCGCTCCGCACCCGGATGGCTCCAGTGGGGGTTATCTTCTGCCTCCTCCAACCTCTTCCTTCCCCTTTCCCTTCCACTTGCACATTCATGGGTTTTGAAACGTTTATTTTCCCCGAACGGATGGGGAAAAAATCCATCTCGGAGCATTTCAGATTTTATCGCAATATGCATTTTTGTTTGATTCTGGGAACAGAGAATACTTGTGGGACACATCATTTAGGTATCTGGAACGGCCTTCTCTGTTGGTGCAGATTTGTTTTCCTTGAATATTTTAAATTCTTCTTTCTCCCTTTCCTTGACACCTCCCCATCCTCCCTACTTTGGTCCTATTAATTACGGAGTAATTTTTCCTTCCGAGGAGTCTCCCTCTGGCCGGGCACTGCCAGAGCTGTCGTATTTCCCGGCAGCGGAGCCTTCATGGGCTGTTCCCTTCCTCCTTCCAGGCTTAACCTTTGGCTTTGGTGGACTCCGGGCTTTCAGACGACGCAGCTTTGCCAAGGCCAAAGCTCCCTTTCCAGGGCAGGAGGAAACACGAACTGGCTGGCAAATGGGTACCAGATGGAGAGGACCTTTAGTCTTGTAACAACGTGCAGAAACGTTAAGAAACCAGCAGCCACAGCCGGGAGGAAGGGGAGGCCAGGGCTGCGGCACTGGACACAGCAGCCGTCCACCTAACAGTGCAGATTAAAAGACTTTTTCAAGCCTGGAGCTGGGGCATTGACAAGCATTATTCAAAGCTCCTGCGCCGGTAGCCTGGGCTCTTCCAAGCGCTCACGGACCCGGCAGGGCCGTGGTGCTCGGCGCTTCACCCAACGCGGACGCGGAACCCCCGCGCAGCCGCAGCTGCAGCCGGGCACAGCCGGCCGTGTTTAGACAGAAGGGCATAACGCTTCGCCGGAAATGTAGCGCGCATTAGTACAGATAATTGATATGAACCTCGACAAAGTGGCTTGCAAATGCGCAGTGGCACGATGATGCATTGCAGGCCTGCCGCCTCGCCTGCACCGCAGCCACCATGGAGCTTGCTTGGCTCCTGCCAGGCAGCGCTATTTCCCAGCCATGTCTGAGGCAATCCTGCCATCTCCTGGACAACCCCGGGCATAGACAGTGGAAGCCTTAGCCTCTCTTCAGGAGCTGCGTTTTCGAGTGATAAACGAGCGAGGGAGACTACTCGGTCACACGCAGAGCAACCTTCATCTGTAAGCTTGAAGAACATGTATGCCAGTGAAATCATAGCGTGTGGTCAGCTCTGATGTTCAGGCGATCCGGTTGCCTACTTAAAAAAAAAAACTAAAGAGCGGAAAGGAGCGTGTGAAAGCAGCCCTCCGGGTCGCTCTGTTCCTCAGCGGTGATATTTCCTGTACAGACACAGGCAGGGGGACACCCGCGGCATTCTATCGCCGCCCCCCAAACCAGAAGCCGGCTGGGGCTGGAAAAAACAGCACCAGTCCGTTCGAGGCTCTCCGCCCCGCGGAGTGGCCAGCCGCCCCTGCAACGAGATGTTTCTGTCAGTGCTTTTCCCTGCAGATTTAAACGTAAACATCACTTTCCGCAGCTGTGTCTCCAGCTACTCCCGATTTTTCTTTTCATATTTTTTTTTTCGCGGTATTAATTAGCAATTACAGATGAGTTGAGCATTAATTGAAAGCTCTGTTTTCTCTAACCCCATAAAAGTTAGTTTGAAGTGTCACCTTTCTTTCCGGTAACTGGGAACTCACATCCATTCCCTGTGTTTATTGAGGGCTGAAAAAAAATATAGTCTTTGAGCACAAAAAGTTCCTTCTGTTTTCTGAGAAGCGAAAATCAGAGTCAGCTTTTTTCGTAAAAGGCGATTATGAAAATAAACTATTGCCCATTCTCATGGGGAGAAAAAAAAAAAAAAAGCAGAAAACAACTAAGCTAATAAGAGGGAGATTCAATTGGTAGACATAACTCAAACAATAAAAATTAAAGGCAGTGGTCAGTAATATCTTCCAGCGGTGCTTGTGTGGTCCTGTGTGGTCTAGGAGGGAGCAATCATTTAAAGCTTTCTTCCAGGGCAATGAAATTACTGCAGAATTTACCCCAATTTCCCATTAAATAGAAAGATGAATTTGATTAGGAGAATGTCAAGAGGGGCAAGCGTCTCTGATCTCGGAGTAGAAATAAAACCAATATTAAAACTATGATTAAGAGGACAATAACACGGAAAATTAACCCTACCTGTTAACTAGGTTCAGGTTTTTAACGGAGGTAATGAAAGTGGCTAAATCCGGGCATTAAGACTGTTGAAGATGGGCTCGCTTAAACTCGGGGAAATCCTATTGGAAAAGAGGTCGGGGACAGAAAGGCCCGGTCCGGGTGACGAATGGGCCTCCAAAGGCGCCCTGGGGCGGCGGCACCGGAAGGTGTTCAGGAGCGCGGGTCTCTGTTGGGCTCCGGCAGGGTGCTGCTCCCCGAGTCGCCCAGTGGCTTGTCTCCTTCGGGGGCCTTTGGGTGAAGCACACTGAGCCTCGGCTTATCTCTGTGGGGAGAACACCGCCTGCCGATCCTCATGGTCTGGGAAAGGACACGAACAACATCCTGGGAGGATACTCTCAAATATGATTTTATTTGTACTTACTCCGGTGTAAAGGGGAAAATGGGAGAAATAGCGGAATAACTGGGCTGTTGTTTGATCTCTTCAAAATGTAAAAATATGTATAAGATCCCCAAAACAGCACCGTAATAACACCGTAAGGGATATAATTTTCTCTTCAGGGGAGAAAAATTCCTCATACGCAGCTTGGGAGATAGCAGCGGGGTACCCAGCCGATCTGACTCTGCTCTGCCCACCGCTACGCTCCCATCCTCTGCTGCAGAGCAGAACCGGCCAGTTTCTTTTTTGCAGTCTTTCCATTCTGTTTGAATGTTCGTTTGTCTGTTTATCTCGGCGGCTCCCTCACGTAATTCCGTGTTGCTGTTGATGTTATTCTCAGTCTGTTGGTGGTTTTTTGTTTGTGTTTTAAAGACAGAATAAACTCCGGGATTTAGAGGTGTAGTTTAAAGTCTTGCCTTCTCTTTAGAGTGAAGATGAAAGGTAAAAAGGGTAAAAAGGGCAGACTTGCGTACCTAAGAAAATACTAGTCATTAGTGTACCAGAATGACGATCATGGCAATATCCGAACAATTAATTTAATTGCAAGCATATGCAGATGCATATCATGTTGCTTGCAATTAAAACAAACGCGTATATAAAGCGGACATAATGCGTATTCTGCGCACAGACACACACACACAGAGGCACAAGGTGTGCTCATCTGCACAGAAACAGAAACACATCCGTGTGTCCTAAGCACTCGCATATACTGGAAAGGAGACAAACGTAAGTTATTCCGAGCCCGCTGAGCACACTTTTATCGCGGTGATAGTTTTCGCCCCAGCAGCTGCCCAGGCCTTGGGGAACTCCAGACCGGGGGGTGCTGCCAGGCCCTGGAGGGGGTCTGTCGGATCTGGAGGGGCTCCGCCAGGCAGGGGCTGCGCCGGGGACTGCCCTGTCCCCTCGGCAACTCTGTAAATGTTTAGTTTCCCCTCATCTCGCTAGCGCCGCAGCTTTGTCAGCCAGCCCCGGCCACTTTTATAGAAGCGGAGACCATGTTCTCCCCTCCCCCTTGCGAGCTC